GCCCTTTGTGGGGGTGGGGGGGGGCGGTGGCTCCCCCCGCCTGTCTCGGCTGCCCACATTACGGTCTCTAGGGCTGGCCTTGGGGCACTCCCACATCACCGGGGCCAGTCCACCTGGGCCTCTGCTGGACTTCTGTCTGGAACTTCTTTTCAGATACCCATTGGCCTCGCCTTGCCTCCTGTCTCACAGGGGCACATGTTCCCTTTCTCACACAGGCCCCCCGGCTGCCCTGCCGAGGAGGCCACTCATTCTCTTCTGCCTCTGCGCCTGCTGGTCGGCTCCCGTGGTGGGGCCGTGCTGTGGCTCCCCAGGCCTGGGCCACTGTTTCCTTTGTTGTCCTCAGTGTGACTAGCTGGAGCTAGTTCCCCAGGCTGCCCAGCATCTCTGGCCTCCCCTGAGGTCCCCACGCTGTCCCAGGGCCCTGGGTGGTTCTTAATGTCTACCCTGGTGGACCCTGGTGACGACACTGGGGATGGGCTGTTTCCATGGCACCAGGCCTCTGCTCCTTGCGGCCACTCAGCCCACCTGGCCCACACGCCGGCGGCCACTTTGGGGCTCAGCAGCTGGGGGTTGGCTCTGGGCCTGGTCCCTTCCCTGCGAGGCACCTGATTCCCTGGTCGTCGCAGGCTGCCCGGGCTTTGCCGAGGTTCTGCAGACCTTCAGCACCTGCAAGCAGGTGCTGGGCGAGATCCTGTCTGCCTTCGAGTTCATGGACGCCGAGTGTGTGCAGCTGGTTGGGCGCCACCTGCACCTGGCCTGCCCCGTGCGAGGTACTGACCCCAGCCCGCCGCCCCTTCCAGGCTGCTGGCCCTGTGTTGTGGCTTGGGTCCTGGGTGGGCAGAGGGAGGGTCCCCAGGCTGGTGGAGCACTGTGGCCGTGGACCACGTGGAGGGAACCGTTCTCATCGAAGTTAGTGCAGCATGGCCCTATCCCATGGGTGGCACTCCCGAACACGGGAGGAGAGACAGGAAGGGCTGAGCTGGCGGCTTAGGCAAACTGGAAAGGTTGCTTTTCATTTTTGTTTTGTTTGTTTGTTTGTTTCCCCAAACTCTGTCAGCATATTTTAATTTTAAATGAGAAAACAGCCAATGTTTTAAAAACATCCCAGTGTTCTGTGTGACCCTTAATGTTGTGAGAGTGGACAGTTTCAGCCCAGAAGAACAAGTGTCTGAAGGCCACGTGTGTTCTCCCCGTAGTCAGGGTGAATTAGAGCAATTTTGGGGAGGAGACGGAAACAGTGTGGGGGTACCAGCGCCCGCAGCAGCTCTCGCTCGACGGTTTGCCTAAGTGTGGGGGAGTGCACAGTGGCCTCAGACACACAGGCTGCTGGAGAGAAGCAGACCAAACAGAAAAAGAGAAACACCAGCTGCCAGCCTTTTTTTTTTTTTTTTTTTTTTATTAAAGAGGTTTTTGCCTTAGGGCCTGTGTGGTTGCTGGAGAGAAAGAGACAGACAATGAGGAAAACTGAGAAATCACCCCCAGGGGTCATGGCCATGCTCATCCCTTCTCCTCCACTCTCCTTCCAGAATCTTGGGAAAACACACACACACACACACACACCCGCGGTCGTTTTCAAGCCACTGGGTCTGGGACTCAAACTGAGGCTGGCCATGTGGGAGTCCAGTGCCGTGACCCCTATGCCATCTGCCGGTCTCACCAGTTCCTAAGCAAGTAGCCCCGTCTGCCTTCCTGAAGTGGTGGGGAGTACAGCCTTTTGCAGGTGCTCCTGTTTGAGGCCATTGAAGGCTGCTGGCCACAGGGGCCCTCCCCGTAGCCCCAGCTGTGCTGAGAGTGGAGCGTCGGTGCTAAGGCCCTCCTGCCCTCGGTGGAGCCCCTGGGCCGGCTCCGACAGTGAGGGCTGGCGGTGGGTGGGGTGGGCTTTACTTGCCCCTTGGGGTGCTGTTTCTGGAGCCTGGTGATCAGCCTCTCATGAAAGCATCTGGGAGCCCACGGGCCACCGGGGCAGCTCTGGCCCTCCACTGTGCCTAGATCTGGGCTCACCCTGCCCTCCCACTCCCTTCCAGAGAGTCCATTTTATGTCCTGGTTGAGACCTCGGGCTCCAGCGCCAGACACGATGCTGAGAAGATGAACAGCTTCCTGGAGCAGGTGCTGGGCTCTGGCCTGGTGACCGACGGAACCATGGCCACTGACCAGAAGAAGGTCCAGGTGCCCCAGCTGCTCACGCCTCTCCGGGGATCTAGCCCGATGTGGACAGTGGGTTGCGGCTGCAGCATGATTGTGCTTTTCATTGCATTGGGTGGAGGGTCCTCCTGCGGTTCAGGTGGTCTCTTCCCTAGAGTAGAGGTGTTCTCTGCAGCGGCTTTGGTTTCATTGCCAGGTTGCCAGCTCCATGTGGGTGCAGCTAGAGGGCAGGCAGAAGGGGCTGCATGGCGCAGAGGCCATCCTGGAGGGCCACCGGCCCTGGGCACGAGTTTCTGAGGAGTGGTGCTCACAGGTCACTTTGTGCCCTGGGAGGCTGAAAGAAGGCAGACTGGGCAGTGGGGCCCGCCGGTCTCTGTACCCATCCCAGGCAGTGGGACCCGTTGGTCCCATCCCCATCCCAGGCAGTAGGACCCTCTGGTCACTGTTCCCTTCCAGGTCAGTAGGGGCTGTCAGTCACCTTCCCCATCCTGGGCAGTAGAGCCTGCCAGTAGAGCCTGTTGGTCACTGTTCCTGTCCTGGGCAGTGGGGCCACCGGTCACCATGCCTGTCCTGAGCAGTGGGGGCTCTCGGTTGCTGGCCAGGGCCTCGGCGTCCCCCTCCTCTGGCTGCAGTGGGGGGGGGGGGCCAGCCAGGGGCAGCAGAGTGGGGCCCAGGCTGGGGGCCCGCTCTTGGGGGACCCATCTG